AAGGAAACATCATCCTACCAGTTTTCTCTGAGGAGTAGAACTAAATCTCACAGAAGGCCTTACATGGCTATTCATAAGTCCCTCAAGCACAGCTTAAATAAAAGTATGTTGATTAATCAAGCAGCATCCCCTGCTGCAGCATCCAGGCAAGATCATCCCCTTTCACTCTTGCTGAAGCAAGACTATCCCCTTTGACTCGTGCCGCTATTGTTGTAATCAGGTGAAAAATTGGAACTCTTGTACCTACTGTGCCCTTCCACTACCACAGCCACCTCTGTTTTTCTTTCCTAGTTCCACTGATGCAAGGGTAATAATTGGTCCATGATGTTTAAAAGGAGCCAGTGGGTTCTACATCTGCTTCTCTGAGTTAAGACATAGCTATCTCATGCCCAATAAATTTTGGGTATTTCACATGCATTCATGAATTCAATCAGGCTCTCAAGCCCCAGGTCTTGCCTCCTACTTGGGTGGATGAGCTCATGTGGCATGAGGTGTGGTCAGATACCTGAATGTGATTCATGTGTGGTTCTCTTACATCATTCAGAAAGTAAAGTTTTCCACTGTGAGAAAGCTGAGTGGCAGAGCAATTTTGAGTACCAAGCCCTGTAAATGTTCACATATGTATCTGCTGAATTCACTGCCAGGTCTGTATGGGCTTTAAGATAAGGGTCTTTTCTTCTTTGTCTCTACTGTCCAAGCAGCAACTCTATTTTAGCTATCAAAATGTTGAGACATACCTGTAACTTTACATGTTGCTAATTTCTGAAGATTCCTCTCCCATTCATTCTGTATCATTTGGATTTTTCCTAAGTTTATAACACATATGAGGGAAAACTAAAATTCCTTTGTTCTCCCTTTCATCTCTATGTGAAAGGCCATGCTTCCCAGACCAGCTACCCTGAGCTCACCTTAACAGCAGGCAAGAGGTGGTCATCTCCCTGCCAGAGCTTGCTTTAGAATGAAAAGAATTCCAGTATTGGAAATTAAGAAGATTTTGTTATTAGCTCTCATGTTAATAATTTAGAAAATACTGCCAAATCACCCACTGCATTCTCTCAGATCTTCCTGAATACTGCTGCAAACTGCATAAGGTGTTAGAGTGAATGGATATATTTCAGGTGAAATATTTGTACTGAATTATTAGAGTAGTCTGTAATATAAAATTACTAATAAACATTGCTTCTGGCTCAATTTAGCCTGAACTCAGTGAACCTAACCAGTGGTGAGAAATCAAAAACTCTGAAATACCTGATGAATGAATCTAACTAATCAAGAAGCCCTGCAGGAAGTAGATGCCAGGATTAATGAGCCAGTGGTATCACCATGCCATGCTGTTATTTCTTCACATAAATGCCCTCAGATGAGATTACCTTTGTCATGAAAAGGAGAAAAGGAAGGTTACATACTTTCAACTGACAGGTTAACTGCCATACCTCCATTACTGCAAGATACATTTTCATGTGCAGAGATTTTTATTCTGAAAAATGAAAATTTAAATACCACAACACAAACCACATTTTCATTTCTAAGAGCAGGGATCATTACTGCTAGTACAATAATATAATCCATGCTGCAATGTTACCTGATCCCTTGCATTGCACAAACTTTTTCCCTTATTAGTAATTGCTCAGTGATTGCAATCTCCAGAAGTGGGTAAGAGCAGATTCTGCCTTCCATGGGGATTTGAGCAGAGGAAGAGAGGAGAGAGAGAGAGAGCCAAAGCATTTCATCAAGAGAGCAAATGAAAAGTTCAGTGACATTATCTTTATGTATATTCCTTAGACATTAGGGGTGATGTTGTGTTTAGAGGAAAGCAAAATTACATGAATATGTGCCTACGTGGAAATGAATCCATACATAAGAACATAAATCTCAGTCTACTTGCACACTGCGTAGAACAGCTTAAAGCTAAAATGTACCTTAACATAAGCAAATAAGCCCAGCTGGTAACAGCCCCAGTGCCTAGTGTTACCTACTTACTCAGTAATAGGCTAATTGTTATTCAGCATAACTATTCCTTCTCCATTTGTATGGAATTCACTCATTTATTTTGATCACTTTACGTGAATGAAGCAAAGCTGTTCATGTTGTTAGATAGAACTGGTTCGTGCTGTTTAATTTTTAGCTTTTAACATCAGCAAAATTGAGACTTTATAGTAAAATAATCCAGACAAAGCATGTAGCATATGTGAGTGAAGCCTGTGGTCTTCCTTCCACCCATGTTAAACACATAAGAGCATCAGCTTAGATGTTTTATGCTGCAAAGCTTCAGTGGATGCTAAGGGTACATATGATTTCAAAAATCTCCAGGACTCAGAACACAAGGATCTATTGCTATGGAAACAAATCAAATTTGTATCAAAGTTGTGTAGGATCAAAAAGCTTTCCTCATAACCAGCACTACAGTTGCATAGAATATGGAAGAAATTATGGATGTTCTAAGAGCAAGCATTAAGCTGAAGGACCTTTGTAAGGCCCTTTTCACAGAGCTGCAATGTTCAGTGTCAGGAGCTGGATCTTACAGGTTGTGTCTCAATCCCCTGCCCCCAGCCATTTTTCTCCACTGTTAAAAAGCACATCTTCTTTTAAGATCTTCCATATCACACTTTACGACATTCCTACATCATAAAGCTGTCTTGCTTATAGCAATATAAAGCAGCTGTAAAAATTATGTGCTTGTAAACAACCTTCCATACATTTGGAAGAAGCATAGTGAGATTTGCACTCTTCTGCATGTAAGTGGAGACCTCTCGCCCTTTTGGCAGGCCACACTATGGGGAAGAGAACACAGTGGAACTGGGAAAACCGAGGGACATCCCAGCTGGCTGGACATCCCCTTTGGCCCATGCAGGGTCACCCACTGGATAGGGAAGCTGGAGGGACCCTCACCAGCTCTGCTCCGTAAGCAGCCTGTGTGCCCATGTCTTTGATAGCTGAATTAAACTGATCACAGGCTTCAATCTCGGAGCTGAGCCAGGTGCAGAGGGGCAGCTGCTCTGCCCAAGGCTGGGCTAGGGACTAGAGGCAGAGCTGGAAGGAGAGACAGGACACGGTGACTTCTTTTCCCAAGTGCTACTGCGGTATGGATTGTGGTATGGGACCTGTCTTGCCTATCCGAGACTACCTCAGGTGGAGGGAGCATCCTGGGCTAATACAGCACCTGCAGCAGCAGACTCCTGCAGGAGGGTGTAGGGCTCTTTCCTCAGGTGACTCCCAGAGGACTCACTTGTGGTCTGGATCACCAATAATTTATTCTGCTTTTATTTCTCTTTTAAATTAAATATGCATATGTAATATGCACTTTGGAGCAGGCAAGGACCCTTCTGCGGGTGCCTATGGAGTCGTGCACTCTCAGGTGTGTAATTAAGAGGTGTGTAATTGATGTACAAGGAGAGAGATCTTAGTGTATTGCATAAAAGGCAAGGGTGAGGGGGGAAGAAGGAAAAAAGCACAAACCTGGCTGTATGATGCCTGGCAATGTACTGCATTTCTTTTTCCCCCCATATCAAAGTTTGCATGGGAGTAAAGCTAGAGTTCTCTCTTCCACGGGGCTTGCTTTGTCAGCAGCTATGCCCTCATTTCACATTCCAAAAAAACTGATCATCTCTCCACTGCCTGCCTGCCCCGGCCTCCCGCTGACCCTCTCTCCTTCATCCCTTGCCCTGCCCTGCTTCACCACACAACTTTTTGTAACTTGCAGTTTAAAGGCCAACCACGCAGAAAGATTAACAAAAGTTTATTAATCATGAAGTATTAAAATTGTGACAAGTGAAAGGCATCAATGCAAAGTTAAGCAAGCAAACTATCCCCAAACTTGTGACAAAGGACTCAGTGAATACCACAGAAGGAAGTCCTGTCTATTTTGTTTTTTTTTGCCTGCAGTTGAAGACACCTCTCATATCTCACACGCCACATCAAAATCTATAATTCTTCATATCACATACTGAAAATGATTTTATTTATCCATTCACATTAACTTGATATAAACGTGTCCGGAAAAGTCAAGTAATATGTTTTATATTAGCTCAAACATTTATTAAGTAACCCAAAATTCAATAAATAAGCACAGACAATAAGTTAAAACATATCACGAATCGACCAGTATGTAACAAGAATGCTTTATCTACACAAAACATCCTATTTCACATCGTTTGTTCATTCCTCCAGCGGCCCTGCCCTGCGGCGGGGTGACCGGCACATGCAGGCGGGCGGGCCGCGGGGCCGAGCCGGGCCGGGCCGAGCCTGGCCAGGCGGGGCGGGGGGCGCGGCGGCGCCTCCGCCGGCGCTGCGGAGGGACAATAGCAGCAGGAACGTAAATAAATGCGTAAATAAAGGTAGGGAGGATCGGCAACTCAACTGTCACGAAATCAAAGATCCGAAAAAGGGAAGCGCTCTTGCGCGCTTTTTTCTTCCCCCTTTTATCCCCTTTGTTTTTTACAAAAAGAAGCTTTTGATTTTTTTTTTCTTTTTTACCCCATCACATTCGCTGTCGCTCATTAATGCTTAATCAAAACGGATTTGATTCTCTCTGGGGTCTCCGTACTTTCCGCGAACCCGCCCCGGCCGTCCCCCGACGGCGCCCTCGCAGCGGAAGGAACCGGCGGCAGGTCGCCGCTCCTAAATAAACCATAAAAATCATTAAAACAGAAACAAAAATGCATTTCTTTGCAAAGCCAAAGCCGGACGGGCGGACGGCGGGAGAGCCGGGTCGTGGCGACGGAAGGAGGCAGAGCCGGGCTCGGCGCGGCCGCGAGTCCCCCCGCCGCCGGGCGGGGCGGACACCGGGGCACGGGGGTGCGCGGGTGATGCGCGGGGGAAGAGGGGGCTGCGGGGAGGGTCGGGGGTGTTTCTCGGCCCACAAACCAGTCTGTTGTTGTCTGATTTCAGATCCTGAGTCGACTCCCTGGTAAGTCGGGTGGGGGAAGGCGGGGGCGCGGGGCGAGGCGGGGGCGCGGGGCGAGGCGGCGGCGGCGGGGGCGGCGCGGGAGAGGCGCCGGCCATTAGGTGAAACTCATGGAGACTGTGTGCTCTAGTGCTTTGCGGCGGAGGGAGGCGATGCTGGTTCCCCGCCACACGTCGCTGCTGTCCGGGGAGCTGCAGAGCTGGGGAGAGCCCGTCACGTTGCTGGGGCCGGGCAGGGAGGCGGGCACCATGCCGGGGAAGGCGGGCTGGTAGAGGTGGGACTGCAGCCCGGCGCCGTTGGAGCCCGCCAGGCTGTTGGAGAGGCCCATGGAGTTGGGCGGCGGGCCGGCCGCCAGGCTGCACTGGGACAGGGACTGCGCCATGGCTTGCTGCCGTCCCAGCGCCGGCGGCAGCGGCAGCTGCGACACGCCGGGCATGGCGGCGGCGGCCCAGCGCGTGTCGTTGGCGTGGAAGGAGCACAGGCTGTCCCCCATGGCGGCGGCGGCGGCGGCGGCGGCCGAGGGGAACTGCGGCAGCCCCGGCGTCGGCAGCAGCGTGCCCGGGGCGCGGAACACGTTCGTGGTCTTCTTGCGCTTCTTCCACTTGGCGCGGCGGTTCTGGAACCAGACCTGCGGGCGGCGGGCAGCGACACGCTCCGTTAGCCACCACCACCTCCCCCCGCAGCACCGGGGGCCCCGCCGGGACCCCCGCCCCGGCTCCCGGCCCCCGCCAGCCTCGCCCCCACCGGCCGCGGCAGCTCTTCACACCCGCAGCCCCACGCGCGTCCCCATCACAGGCTGACGAAACCGCTGGAACTTTTTATAACGAAAGCGATCGATTTGTCCGTCCTGAGCGGGAGACTCCAAGAGAGGAGCCTGGCCTTCCCACAGGAAAAAAAAAAATTAAAAAACAAACAAACAAAAAAAAAAACTAACCCCCAAAAAAAAAACCAACCAAGCAGCCTATGTCTCTGGCCCTTGCGTGGACGCGCTCCCGCCGAGCCCTGCCCCGGGCCAGCCGCCTCGCCCCGTGCCACCCGGGCCCGGCCAGGAAACCCTCGCACCAAACCGCCCGCATTTGGGTTTTAAAAAAACCCAAAACATAACAAAACCAAACCTATAATAACAAAACCGGGGGTGGTTTCGGTGAGTGGGTGCTTGTGGTGGCACTGTGGCAGGGGTGGCTTGGTGGGTCTCTCCGCACCGCGGCCGAAAGCAACCGAGACAGTCGTGAGGTGGGAGAAAGCGCGTCCACCTAAAATCCGAGGGAACGCAGTGCCCCATCCTGCCGAATTCCACCCTCTCAGGCTCCATAAGCAGACTGAGAAAGGCGGACGCCAATTAGCGGGAATGAAAGGCCGTGAGGGAGCTAAATATTATATGAATAATCGAAAAAATGCGTTCAACTATGTTTTAGGGCTAATAGTCAAATTGCGGCTACAAAATCTTTTTATGTTTCATGGTTTGCTGGTGGTGTAAAGAATCTCCATCAGGTCTGATCGCCTAAGTTCATAGCTGCGCTGCATATGCTTTTAAAATGTGAATGTTTCCAGTTGAAAACTGGTGCATGACAGATTAAAATGCAAGGAAAACCTGGGGGAGATTTTGAAAATGCACACATGACAACTCTAGAAATATATTAACCATGAGCATTTGGCAACTTTGAACTCCTTTTAAAATGCAACTAGCCCCTGAAAATTATTAATACAACAGTGAGAATCTAATGGAGGTTGGAATCTAAAAACCTACCTTGATGATATCTGCTGTTACAGTAATATAGACATACTGTAAATGTATTTTAAAATATATAGCCCATTTAATTCCCCAGCTATAAACGGGTCGGAGGGGGAAAGTGATAGAGAGAAAGGGAGACAATATCACTTTTGTTTTTCTTCTTCTCTTTTTTTTTAATGTTCTTTTAAATTTTTTTTCTCCTTTTTATTTCTTTTTTTTTTTTTGCCTTCGAGAGAGCATCAGGGACGGGGCAGCACCACCCGCCCAAATCCACAGGAGCCAGAGGCGTTGGTATGCATGTAATCTGGTCTTTTAATTTTTTTTTCTTTTAAGAAGCCGAAGCTTTATGAAGATCTCATTGGAATCCAGCAGATGATTAATGTGAAGATTTGGTAGGAAATCTGGAGAGCTGTATTAAAGCTCAGATCTCAGGTTCATTTCGATCAGCCAGCCGTGAACTCTGGGCCGAATTCATTACACTTTAATAGTGCTGGGAGAGGAAGAAAATGCAATTTCTCATTCCATTAGAAAACTAGAAAATACTCTCAGCTTGTCCCCTATTAAGATGTGGCAGGTGACGGGACCATTGTGGGGGACACGGTCAATGGAATTACAGCACATTATTTTTGTTCATATAAAATATTGGAAGGCAAGCCTGACTGTGCAGAAGTTATTTCACTGATTTAGTTTTTATGTAAATAAAATATTGAAAGTTAATTAATCCGTGCTAGAGACTAATGATTATGCTTATTATATTGCATTTGATCGCGTAATTTGCATGATTCTCGCATTGCTGCTTAATAAGCCATTCCAGGTTATAAATAATTCTGAAATTGGTTTCTAATAATGGCATGCTATAAAAAGAATGGTTTTATTACAGCAGCTTGAAAAGCAGAGCAATATCAGATGTGGAATTGGACTCCCGTTTAAGCATCAGCCAGTTTAATAATTATTTAAATGTATCATATACATTAAATACAGATCTAAAATGAGGAAAGTGGTGATTTATCCTAGCATCTAAAACCCTTAAAAACAGATACAGCCGCTATAAATTAAGCATCTGGAGCATTCCTTAATCAGTGTGGAGCCCATGTACTGAAAGTAATGTGTGGGCTATCTGTTAACTATAAAGAAAACTGTAAAAACTGTTCTTTCTCGTATAAGAACATAAACTAATTATTGTTTAATTTAAATTTGATCAAGGACCAGTGATACATCGGATTGTGAAGTAAATATATTAAATACTTTTTTGCCTTAGATTACATAATGTTAATCATTTTGAAGTGTTAATTAAGAAGGTTATGTTGATCTGATTACTTTTTAAATTACAGAACATTATTGTAAAAAAAATTTAAATTGACACTCTATTAAACTGTTTTTATCAGCAGTCTCGAGCTATTAGCATTGGTTTAAGATTATGCCAAGGCCATTAAAACACTTCGTCTTTTTTTCTACGAATTTCTTTGATGTGCTGTTAGAAAATAACTATTTCAATTTTATATTTTACTTCATTTACCACACTCCTAATATTGAAATTGGTATCATTAACCTTTGGGAAACCCAATAAAGTTTAATAGACCTCGTTTTCTTTTTTTCATAGAGTCAGTTGTCCAATTATATTTTATTTGTGAATCTAATTTCTTTTTTAATTTAAACTAATTATAGTTCTGTGTAGGCTGAATCAAATTGTTTTACTTTTTAAAAGCAGACGCGCTTTTTCTGTCACATTCAAGAACGGAATCTGTTTTCCTTCATAAAACGTTCATTTAGGGATTTCTCTTCACGTATCTTTATTTAGCTGAGGAGCCTGTGCTTGCCGATAGGGATTTTGAACAATGACTGCGCTGAAGTGCCTCAGCAGTGGCAGTCCCGGTGCACTGTACTGAGCCGGGATGCGCATCCCACAAGTGCTTCTATTATGCAGGCTTTAATTCCTTGGAATGGACTCGCCTAGAAAGCCGCTAAAATAATCTTATGTGCGAAACAGCAGCGTCTGAGCAGTATAGCGCTTTGATCCTTCTCCCCCTTTACCAAATTTCGTTTACATTTATTTGCCTAAATAGTTTCCTCCTGTCCTGTGTGCATATATGTCTATGTAAGTGTGTGTATATATATATGTATTTTAGAGAACAAAGTTGCACCCTCAATGTTGAAGTCACTCACTTAGCCCCACCGTTCCCAGGCAATTTAAAAGCCAGTATGGGGAAAGTCCGAGTCCAAACACAACTGGCTTTTATCGAAGTGCCTTTTTACGAGCCGATATGCCTTCCCTTGCACCCCACCTCGGCTCTCAGGGCGGTGGGCTTTGGCAGATGCCCCTTCCCGGCGTGTCGCCATCAGCACCCTGGACAGCGGCCCTGCCGTCGGCTACCTGGACAGCGGCCCCGCGGTCGCCACCGGCTTCCGCTCCGGTGGAAAATGGGTCATTCCCGGCAGGTTCGGCTCTTAGCGCCAGGCTATTGCGAGAACTGAGATCGTTCTTCTCGGGCTGTCCCTCCCCGGACTCCTTCCAGCCGCGGGTCGGGCCGTGGAGCTGAGGGAAGCTCAGCCTATGCCCTGCTCAGGAACACCGCGCTGCAGGTGGGTAGGATAGAGGAAAAGGGGACACCCCAAGGTGACATTTTCGCGGAAAGGGGAGCGACGCATGTCTGATTTCAAGGCTTTCTGACCAAACTGTTGCTTTCAGAGGTGCGTTATTTACCTAGCCGTCGGGCTGAGGTTTGGGGCACCCACCCCCCTCCCCGTTGTGCCTGGCCTCGCCGCCGCCCGGCCGCGCAGCCGTCGGTGCGACTGTGGAAGGGCCGGCAAGCACTGCGCGGGGGCGGCTTTTCATACCTGCACCCGGGACTCGGTGAGACCGATGCGCAGGGCCAGCTCCTCCCGCATGAAGATGTCCGGGTAGTGAGTCTTGGCGAAGCTCCTCTCCAGCTCGTTGAGCTGAGCCGGCGTGAAGCGAGTGCGATGCCGCTTCTGCTTCTGCTGACCCTGCTGCTGCCCGGCCTGGCTGGAGTTCTGGCCGCCCTGCTGGCCTTGCTGCTTGTCAGGGTCTTTGGCGCTGACGGCTAGGGAGCTGGGGTTGGATCCCACCGTGGTGATGTCCTCCCCCGGCAGCAGGGTGGTCCCTTCCACCGTGTCCGAGTTGGGAGCCATGTCTCCCGGGTGTCCCCCCGGATCCGAGCCCCCGACGCCCAGCCGACACTTGACCGCCTCCCGGTGTCCCAGCAGCTCGGCCGCGTCTTTCATCCCTGCGGAAGCAAAGGAGCGGCAGTCACTCGGCTGCAGCTGAGCATAGATCCATCAGAGCCCCTCTCCAGTGCACTGAACTGGAGAGAGACATCCTACCACTGCCACCGCCTCCGCCCCGCCGTCCCCCGGCCGGCCGCCCGCCAGACCCGCAGCCCTGCTCGGCTCCACGACACGGAGAGACCCGGGCCCGGCGCGACCCGGGCACAGGGGAGAAAACTTTACATCGAGCAGCTCCTCTTCCTGCTGAAATAACCAGTTCCCTGCCCGGCCTTCCCTTGCAAGACCAAGGGAAGGGAAGAGGAGGAGAGCAAGTTTTCACGGGTTCAACTTGGATTTTCCAGCGGAGCTGGTAAGAGAAAGAGACGGAGAGAAAGAAATAAGGCTCGAACCGCTCTGTTGCCGGGAGCGTTACCTCCACGACAGATGCGCCGGGACCTCGGTCAGTCTGGCCGATCCCCTCTCCTCCCTCCGCTTCTCTAAACAAACTCATGAATAACCAAAAATAGATATAAATAGATAGATACAGATATTTCTCCCTTTTTTTTTTTCTTTTCTTTTTTTTTTTTTTTTTTTTTTTTTTTTTTTTTTNTTTTTTTCTTTTTTTTCTTTTTTTTAAGGAAAGGGAAGGAGAAAAGCAAACGGGCGAGCAAGAAAAGGCCACACAGAACTCCGTAAACACCATCGAGCTCATCTGTCCTAAAATAATAATCATAATCATAATAATAATATGTAGGTATGTATATAAAAACTGGGGAAAGAAAAATTAAATGATCCACAACTCGCTGTAGATCTACATATACCGTAGGTCTCAGTCTCTTCTTTTTTTATGTTAAATCAAATTAAACTTTAATACAGTACAATTACTTTTAAAGGAATTAGCCCATTTAGAACGCATTAAGGTAAAATAAGGAACAAATTGTCAATTTCCTGCCCCGGCTTCCTCCCCGCTCACCGCTGCAGCCGGTGCAGCCGCCGTAGGGCGGGGGGGTGCCGGGTGAAACTCACCGAGACGGGCGTCCAGGAGGTCGGCGTGAGACAGCATCGCGCACCGCTCCAGGGCGAAGGCTGTTCCCCCCCAAATTTTAGCGGCCTTAAGTTATTTAAAATAGATATAAGATATGAGATATATATATATATAGATATATATATATATAGATCGTCTAAATGAAAGAAAATTCGGTGTGTGGTTAAAAAGGGGGTCTCTTGCATTATAATGTCCTTTAGAGAGACGGGGAGGTGCTTAACACTTCAATGAACCCGTGAGCAGCTCGGCGCGGGGACCAATCAGGAGGGCAGCCTGCAAATGTCAGCGCCCGGAGCGCCCCGCTCCGCCCGCCCGCCGCCCGCCCGCTGCCGCCGCCCCGGCCTCCCGCCGCCCCGGCCCGGCCCGGCCCGGCCCGTGCCCGCGCTCCCGTACCCTGCTCCGCTCGCCTTGGCCGCCCGCCTTCTCCTTCTCTCCTTCTCTTCCAAATGCACATTTGCCACACTCCGCTCCGGGTCGCCCCTGATTTATCGGCTTTTATTGTTTTTAGTGCCTCCTCGGAGCGCACCCTCTCACCGATCAGTCTCCCGGGGGTCTCGCAAGCTTAGAGCCCACCAAGGGCTGCGAGCGGGGCAGGCGGGCGGCGCGGGGTCGGGCAGCGCCAGCCTCGCTGGCCGACGGCCCCGGGGAACCGGGAGCGGGAGCGGCAGGGGAGGCTGCAGCCAGGCTTTCACCCACACAAGCCCCGACGGCTGCTGGGCGTCGAGGAAGGAGAAACTTGCCCGAGTTCCCGCAGCGGGCCGTGCCGCACAGGCTGCCTGGCCCCCGAGGCTGCCCGCCACCTCGGCCCGGCCCCGCTCGGTGCCGAGGCAGAGCGCAATGAGGGGAAAGGGAGCCCAGCACCACGCATCCCGGCCGCCCGGGGAGCTCTGCCTCCCCCCCTGCCCAGGATTTTAACGCCCGTAAGCCCTATTTTTCGGGTAAAGTTTCCAAGTTCGGCTAGCCTACAAACTCAACTTAAAGCAGTAAATAAAGTTAAATGCTTTTTATTTTCCTCTTGAATATATTAAACTACTTGAACAATTTAAAGTGCTTTGCAGAAGTGAAGCGAACCATTTCTAATGTTCTGATTTTTCAAAGCCAGCCAACAACAAAGTTTAGATTAGTAATATATTTCTAACCAGAGTAATTTTCAAGATCATTAGGCATTTATGTAATTAGTGCCAAATCTATAAGCTTTTATTACGATTATTAGAGTAAAATCAGTATAAATTTGTACTAATTTACTACTGTTTAGACTTGGCTGTCAAGCCAAGAGGTTCTTATTGTAAATGATAACTGAGGAAATTAAGTGCAAAATTCTGTACCATTTCTGATCCGCTCCTAAACAATCCGTTTCAATTGTATTTGTAGCAGAACATAATGCCCTTTTAAAGTTATTTGACTTGTATTTTTATTTGCAAAACAAGAAAAATACCATCTACGCGGGCACAATGAAAACTGATATTTACTACTTCCAACTTGATTAACATTGATTTTTAATTCAAAAGTGATGCAATTAAGATTATTCATTTAGTGCAAATAAAGCTTCCACCAAAAAGCGAGGCCAGTGAAGTCTATGTTAAATAAAACGGAGCCAATGGCTTTTTTTTTTCCGCCATCCAATTGACTTACACGAAACACTGTAAATACTGCATGCGAACAGATGCAAGAGTGGTTTTGTTTGCAGCTCAGATGTGCAGTGGTTTCGGCAGAGACTGAAGGAGACAAAGGAACCGGCCGACCGATCTCTAGGGCAGTTTTGCTGCCTTTTTTTTCCCTCCTCCCAGGCTACATTGATTCAATTCAGCTTTCGAGACCTCGGGCTGTTGCGAAGATCCTGGGTGCTCGGGAACGGCCGCTCAGAGCAGGGAGAGAGACCCAGAGCCGGGCCACAGTTTAGCCGGAGACAGAGAGAGAAAGAAATGAGATGGAGGTGGGGTGGGAGTTTCGGGATTATTATTTTTCCCCGGCTGGATGGGTGACTGCGGAGATAGCATATTTGCTGTGATTTTTTTCCTTTGGAAATTATTCTCCGTGTGTAGCTGTAGGGCAGGAGGGGAAGACCCGGCGGTGGGAACTGCTGGGAGGAGCCCCCCGGCCCGCTGCCGGGCGTCGGGACCCGCGGAGCGGAGCCGGCGGAGTCGCTGGGGAGACGGGCCGGAGGCGCGCAGCCTTTCGTGGCCGCGGGAGTCTGGCCCTGCCCGGGCCGGGGTGAGGCGAGCGGCCAGGGCTGGCCGGGGCGTCAGGGGTTCAGTTTTGGCTGTATGTACCGGCACAAGTGTGCGGGCGCTCCAGGTGCCTGCAGCCGGCTGCTGCCGAGCGCGCCGTGGGCAGGGTGGCAAGGCGTGCGTCTGCATCTATTCCGTATTGTTGTATGTTTCAGATCGATAAATAAATGTGTAATAGTTAATGTGCAGACACATCAGAGTAATAACAATGGGATGAAATCAAAGGATTATCAATCTCTGTTAGTAACTGCTGAATAACAATGTTGCGGTGTGATTGATAGCGCGCTTCATTTTATGACTTTTCTATTGCTCTTGATTTTTATAGCAGTATAAACAAACTAAATCATTTCTTCCAAGACTTCAGATAGCAATTGTCTTAAGGGAAGGAGGGAAATCAGAGAAGGAAGTCTGTGGGAGAGAAAAGAGCGAACCGGGCTGACACTAACGCGTGTCAGGAAGAAAATTACAATGGGGCACATGTAAAATACCCTAATCACATTCCGCTTTCGCGCACTCCTGTTTTGTCAAGTGCCCGAATTCACCTGGGCAGCGTCGGAGATGTATTTACAAGGATTTTATTCCCCGTCATCTTTCCATTTTCCCAGTGTAGCCAGAAAACTGCCAGTCAACTCCATTCCCTGTTACAATTTACGGTATTCCCCACATGATCATAGGAACTGAAGTTCCTAACAAGGAAAGGCTTTAGCACAATGGCCAAAAATCTTCAGAGTGACACGAGTGTCTTCAGAAATCACTTCAGAGCAAAGTAAAAGGATTTTCTATGACGGATCCAGTGATTTTTCCTCAATAAATAGGTTTTAGATTGTTACACACACGTAGAACTGGAACAAAGGGCAGTACCAGAAAATATATTGGTTGCCCCTAATAAAATTTATTTAGACAGTTTATTTCTCATAAAAAATAGAGATTGAATTTCGTACAGAAGCGCCTGCCAAGAGGCCAGGCACTGGGAGATCATCTCCCCCCCGCACCTGCCTTTGCCTTTCTTTCCTTTTCCATCCCATCCCTTCCTTTCCGTGCCCTGCCCGGCGGCGCCCGGCGGGCCCGATCCCGGGGTCCCGGCCGGAGCTGGCTCTGCCCTCCCCTGAACGCCCCCCGCCCCCGCCAGCCGATCCGCCCGAGCGAGGCCGCGGGAGCGGGGCGTGCCGCGTCTGGGAGTAATATAACCCTAATTCTCCAGCGCTGTGACCCTGGTAAGAAAGGGTAGAGAACTTTCCAAACCCCAGAGCTCCCCCTCTCCCCTTCCCGCTAAACTCAAGCCCTGATTGAATGAGGCTGTAATATAAACAAGTGTATTTAACCAATTCTGCTCTGATTTAGAAACAGAACCTTCTTTTATCAGAATAATTATATTTGGACCGAGAAACACAGTAAAATAAGGTTAAACTGCTAAAGTCAGCAGGGTGGCTTAGCATAAATGGCTGATAAGATTTGTAATTTGATATTTTATTTATGTATTTCTTGAGCATCCATCCAGTTAAACCGGCTGCTGTATGCAGAGCACGGTAATTGGTTTTTACACGTAGCAACGCTCACAGCATTTACCGAATGCAACTTTTGGTTGCTGGCTTGTTCGTGAGCTTTTTTTTTTTTTTTTTTAATTTTTTTATTTTTTCTAGACAGTAGTGCTGAAATATCGGATATTATTATTCACATTCCCGCTGTTCAGTGCTGCATTGTAACATTGTTCGCTTTAATGAGAAGCGCCTCCCTCAATAATTAACGACCTCACATTTCCCTATTTTCTTGCCTGATGAAAAGAATCAATTTTAATTCATTGTAAATTACAGCTATGCTTTTGAGTGTTATTTGCTTACTTTTCCACATCGACATATCCTAAACACAAATGACAAATCAAACTATATACTTTCGTTAGGGGTAATTTGGAGTTAAGAAATGGAAAAGCATAAACACGTGTTTTCATTTCAATCAGCCCTCTCGAAAATATGACTTCTTTGGAAACGAAGGACAAGGCTGCCAGCAGCTACAGATCCCAATTTATACATTCTAGTCAGAGCTAAACGTGACGATCATCGCCGCTTTACGACACTAGGCTGCATGTAGCATTTTGTCGCCGCTATAAATACACTTCTTTGAAAGCAACTTTGTGAAGTTTAAAGGCATCCGAGTCAAGAACGCTCGCAGCTGATCAAAAACGAAGCCGTCAGGTGTCTTGAAAACAGCCTCCCTAAGGTCGGCGGGGAGAGCTCGGACCACCTGACACCTCTCCTCAAACACTGTTAAGTACAGCATTTTCCCATTTTCTTATTCATGTAAATATCTGCATCCGGCTACAGAGGAGCCAAAGGCAGCGCCTGCGACTGAATCCTCGCGGGCAGGCTGCAGGCAATCTCTCGACAGCGAAGCGGTTCCTTTAGATTGAAAGGATGGCTTCTATCAATTAATTTTAATCAGAGCGATGACAACCAGTCTTTTATGGGGAAAAAGCTATTTTAATATAAAGGAATGCCTGACGCCCCTGCCCGCTCTCACCCGACCAGATGCAAACTCTTTAAACACAAAAGTCACCTCCCCCTCTCCATCCAGCTTCGTAACGCATGTATGCACTAAGTATGCATAAGCTTTTCACATAATATTAAGTTCATAAACTTAAAAATGCGCAGCCGAAGCGTAACGCGCTGTGCTGTAGCTTTTGCAGTCGGACAGGAATTATTTGGGCTGCCCGAAAGGCGAAGGGAGCGCTGGTGTAAATAATTTTTCACATACATCTCATTTTAGCCAAACAGTACACTTCCGGGGAGACTTTGT